AGTCCCCGTTGCTCGGCAACGCTACAGGCGCCCCGGTGATGCTGATGCTGGTCTCTCCGTTCTGGTCGTCCCAGATCCAGCGTCCAGACAGGTAGGTGGTTCTGCGGGCCTCCGCCAGCTCAGTCACCGTGCTGGAGGTCAGTGCGGCGTCACACTCTGCCATGACATCAGCCGGGTCTCTGGGAAAAAAACAACAGTTTGTTCCAGATCAATACGTTTTCCAGAATGGAATAATTCTACGAGGAGGATGGAGGTAAGGAACTAAGGATGGAAGTACAAAAGGTAGGAAGGCACAAACTCCGCCCGTTTCTGCTGACCTGCTGCCCTGCTTCTCCTCCTGCATGGGGAAGATGTGCTTGGTGAGTTCCAGGATGTGCTCCCGTCTGAGCGCCGCCAGCTGACCCAGCCGGCTCTGGTGTTCTTTGCTGCGTCTCTCCATCAGCTCCCCCAGGCGCCGGTTGTGTCGCTCGATTTTGTCCCTTTTCTCCTGGTGGCGTCCGGCGCGGCGCTGCAGCCGCTGAGCTTCCTCTTGAGAGCGCAGGAGGAGCTCCCGATCTGCAGCAGAAGGACCCGAGTGAGGAGGTGCAGAGCACTGAATCAGAAGTGGAATATTGGCCCCACACACTCACCACTCTTCACCTCTTTGTTGCCCCAGGCAACCGCCTCCCTCAGCTGCTCGATCTGGATCTTGAACAGCATGATCTTCCATTTCTGAGGGAACAGAGGAGATCTTAGAAGCTCTGTTCATCCAACCAACAGCTGTGGGGTGGAGCTGGTCCTATCAGCTGGTCTTTTACAGACTTTAACTCTGGATCACAGATCAGAAACTGAACCCCAAAGCACCGTCTGGATTCTGGAAGCTTCTCTCTAACAGATGGCTTTTTAATAATGCCGAGCCTCCAGAACCAAAACCATCTTGTCTGAGGATCACTGGATCGACTAAACATCATCTGATACATCTTCTTGTACGCTCAGAATGATTGAACAAACATGCTGCTTAGAGGGAACATTGGTACCTCCAGCTGCATGTTTCCTCTCCCCTGTTCTAACTCAGTGGTTCCCAGCCCTGCTCCTCAGGGACCCTGCCCTCCATGTTTGGATGAGTTCCACTTCCAACCCAACTGATCCCACTGAGAGCTGCTCATCTCCTTTGCTCTCAGCTGCTGCAGAAGCCTGTTGATCATAGATTCCTCTCTGGTGTGATGCATTAAAAAAAAGGCAGTGTCACTGAGCAGCAGGCTGGGAAACGCAGCCTCACTGTCAGACCTTGAACAAATCTGGTTAATCAAGGTCTGCCTGGAAAAGCCTGACTGATGCAGTGAGGCACGTAATGAGCCTACATCTCTACTGTGACGTACGTGGAAGTTGATCTATGGTGGTACCTGGACCTCCACGGGTTTTAGGCCCGTCACACCTTGCTGATTTATCCAGCGTAAGCCTGACATCTCAATCTCTTAAAACGCTGGTGGACGCTGAATTTTCAATGAATTTTCTCCATTCTGGGCGTATTCATAGTCCAGAGTCCAGAGCTTCTGTCCAAAAACGGCCTAACTTATGCATAACGCATGGCAGCGTAATTTCATAATTTCATTTCATGGGCTCCTGAGGGGAGCAGCGATGATAACGTCCGCTCCAAAAACAAAAAAAAAACTCCCAGAATACATAAAGAGAAAAAAGAAAAAGAAAGAAAGAAGGTTTTTGGTGGCAGTAGATTGAGCCTCATGTCTGCTAGGAAGTTTGTTGGTGGTGGGCGCAAACGCAGGGAGGATCCATCACACTCACCTTCTGGCTCACCCTATGATGGGGATGAAGTCTGAAGGAGAACTGACGGTTTCCTCCTGTGAACCCCCTTTATACCAAAACGCCGCCAATACGCCATTAAACAGTAGCTGGAAGTTAGAAACACGTTCAGCGCTCGTCTGGAACACGTCAATACGTTGATATGCGTTGGAGAGAAGTTCTTGATAAGTTATGCAGATAAGCTAGACGCCACGACTGATGAGTAACTGAACGTCTGTCAACCATCAGATAACTGACCTGGAACTGATGGCCCACGGATGGCATACGGCGGGCGTATGGCAGCGATGTACTCGCCATATGGCGACGTGTTTCAGCGTGCAAATAGCTTATACAAAACATAACCATAACTTCTCCAACGTATTCCAGCGTTTCTGTCAGACATACGCTGGTCTAAATCGTCAAGGTGTGTCAGCGGCTTTACAGACAGAGGAGCTCACCATCTCGTCGGCCTGCAGCCTCCGGTCCATGGCGTGTAAGACACTGTGAGAACAGATAAACATCTTCATCAAAACATCTTTGTCGATGCTCAAATGTGACCTCAAATGTGACCTTTTACCTTTGCTGCAGTTTCTCCTTCTCCTCCTTCAGCTTCTTTAGCCTCCCCAACTTCTCAGAGTATCTATGGAGACAAGAACATCATCCATGGAGCTGCTTCAGCGTGGGAACACCTGGAGCTGTTAGCTGGGCTGTGGACCTGGTTTAGCTGCATTGTCTGATTTCATAACCCAAAACAATCTCAGCTCAAAAACTAGTTCAGACATTTCAAACAAAAGCTAAAAACTGCAGCCTTCTAGTGTTTTATCCAACAGTTTTCAGTCCCTAAAGTAAAGAGAGCAGCCCTCTGCTGAAGGCCCTCTGAGGCTGACTTTAGGGGGGGCTCCTCAGGAAGGAGGCACACGCCACACCTTTCAGCTTCTTATACTTGTAAACAATGAAGCTAACCATGTCCACAGCGCCAGTTTCATTAAGTAAACATTAAAGCTGATTAACTCTGATAACAGAACAACAACAGGCAGCGATAAATATTCAGATGAGCTGAGCTTTAGGTCGTGTTTTGGTGAAATAACATAAACATGGAGGCGCTCCTCCTCTTAGCCATGTTACCGCATCACCTTTCACTGTTCCTCCCGTCGAAGAACACGAAGTCTCCGGCCTGAACGCACCGGGCACAGGTGAGCCTGCGGCGGGAGGTGGTGCACAGAGGGCAGCGCTCCACCGCCACAGACAGCCCCTCCGCACCGTCCACCGACTCCACCATCACACTGCCGGGGGTGGAGGCAGCGGGCTGGGGCTGCTGGCGGGGAAGAGGCGGCTTAGCCGCGGCAGCCCGACCGGGACCGAGCAGCGGAAGACCTGCTGGGGACGTCATGAACAGGGACCGCTAAGCTAAGCTAAGCTAGGCTAGGCTAGGCTAAGGTAGAGTAAACAGTCACAGCTACAGAAGTCGGAGCTGTCGCTGGGTCCCTCCTTCTCCCTTCACATCCACCATCATCCAGCTTCACGGGGTCACAGCCTCCGTGGAGCCCCTCAGACCGTGGGGCAACGAAGTCAAGTTTTTGTTTGGCTTCCTTCTTTTTCGTGAACTTTGTTTTAAAACAATACGATCCGCTGACGCCACCTAGTGGTACGGATAGGAAAAAACAGCACCTCTTTCCTTATCAAGAATTTTTATGCCATTTTAAGATTCCTGTAAGCCCAAACAGTTTGCTGTTGTTTTTATTCAACCAGGTGTTATGTTATTTAAAGGTCAGACCTCTCTGATCTCCACTTGATCCAACTGATACTCATGTAGGTGGGCTGTGTTTTCAACCCAAATCTCCTAAAAATAACACATTCGCGTTTTATTCCAAGCAAACTTAATCTCAGTTCCTTCAATAATTTCACTGTGGTCTGGTCTGAGAAGTATGCTGAAACAACATGGTCTCTACCCAATAAATATTTATTAGTAAAGAAGGTTAAAGAGGTTTCCTTTAAGATCATTCACCGCTATTTCCCAATAAAGTAATATTTTATTATAAATAAAAATGGCTGCCCACCAACGCTCAGCATCCAGTGACAGAACTGGAGAGAAAGAACGTTAGAAAATCCCCACATCCATCCTCATTCCCAGGAAGACTCCTGGCTGAATGAGCTCAGAAGATGCTGCTACTCAATACTGAGCAAAGGGTCTGAATGCTTATGAGCATGTGATATTTCAGTTTTTATTTTTTTATAAATTTGTAAAAAAAAAATCATTTGTTTTTCTCTGTGAAGATGGGTGAGTGAACATTAATGAGAAATTAAATGAACTTTGATTTTAGCAAATGGCTGCAATAAAACAGTGAAAAATATAAAGGTCTGAATACTTTCCATACCCATTCAGTCAAACCAATAAATATTAAAATAAATTAAAATAAATATTAAAACAGCAACTTAATATGTTAAAACATTTCTAGGTATATAAAACTTTATTCTTACCTTACCAGCATAATTTAGTTTTTATTTTTCAGAAATTCAGTTGCTGCTGGAAAAAAAGTAATTTGGAAAATATATTATTACAGTTCAGGCTAGGAGTGTACAAATGGAACAATAGAGAGGGTAGTGCTTTTAATAAATGTAAAAACGGCCTGCCGTAGACGCTTCATATAAATTTACTCATTAACTGAAGCAACAATCTTCTTCATCTTCCATTTCTCTGAAGCTATAGCACTGTTTCTCTGTATTTTTTTTTTAATTTCTGCATAAAGGTTTCTAGTTCCAGTGAGGTGAAATAGTTACTTCCTGTTGCCTGTTGTCATGGTGACCTGTCGAATCGGGAATCCACTGATAATGGCTTTCCATTCATGAACACACGCATGTGTTCAACTCTGAGAGTACGGACTTAGGTTTAAGTTTAATAAAAGCTGCTGTGAGTTAGTTTCATCAACTCTGAGTTTCAAAGTTCAATCAATTCAGAGTTGAGGATTTGAGTTTGAGTTTATTAAACCTGCTTTTTGAAACGGACCCCATACTTGCTGGGAAATACTGGTAATAATACTGCATTCAGCCATCGACATCCTAAAGCGCAACACATTCATAGGTTCACACTCGATGCACAGAACGGGCTTCCGGTGGAAGGGAACCAAAATAAAACACGTTGAGACATAGAAAATAATTTATTCTCTTCAAGAAAAGTAACTAAACTAAAACAGATGTCCAACGCTGATTCAAGGAAGAAACAGCCGCCATTGAACACACTGGTCCATCAAGACGTCACTGCTTTCTGAAGCCTTTCAGGATGGGATAAATGTTCTCAAAGGCTTCGTAGATCTCTGCTCTTTCTTTTGCTCCTGGAATTCAACAGATAAAAATTAGAAATCCAGAAGGTTCTGTGACCTCATAAAACTAAAGAAGCTTGTTGGTGCTTTAAAACCTTCTGCTGACTTAATTTACTGATGTGTTCTTTGCATCTCAATCAACTTCTTCTGGACATTTGAAAAAAAAAAAAAAGATTTTGAAACTAAAAGCGATAAAGATTCTTTTTTTGTGTTGGCCACCAGCTGCTTTTGATCAAATAAAAGTTGAAGCATCAGTCTCCAATTGACCAACGCCATGGTAACCAGATTCACCCCATCCATCTATCCAAGTGTGGGTTAAGATTTTATAAAAATTGCTTCTTGTAACACCTCATTAAAGGAGAGAAGTTAACCTTACCTATTGATAAAGCTATTATCTTCTTACCATAAACCATTAAATTAGGAGGCAAAACCTTTAGCTTAACCTAATATTTTCAATAAACCCTTTCCCACTGGGGGAAAAACCAATTTAAACTCAGGAGCAATGGGTTTTTAGTGGTAGTGGGACCAGCTCACTGACGCGCGTCTACCCTGTTCAAATGACTTGTCAAGTGACCAGCATTAAAATTGCCTCGATTCTCTTCAGCATGCTGTGGGAACACCAGAGCCACTAAATTACGTGATACTATTGAACCCACCATGCAGACGTCAACACACTGCGCCAGAGTCGCTTCTGATCTAACCAGCAGAAACAACTTCATTTCCATTGGTTAAACATGGACCAGCTCTGATGAGACGGATTTAGGCATAATGCTATCGCCATGTTAACATGAGCCCGCCTCGCTATCGCCATGTTAACATGAGCCCGCCTCGCTATCGCCATGTTAACATGAGCCCGCCTCGCTATCGCCATGTTAACATGAGCCCGCCTCGTTATCGCCATGTTAACATAAGCCCACCTCGCTATCGCCATGTTAAAATGAGCCCACCTGACTATCAAAATGCTAACATGAGCCCACCTCGCTATCACCATGCTAATATGAACCCACCTTGCTATACCCATGTTCAAATTATCCTGTCTTGCCATTTTTTTGTGCATTGGTCATACTCAAAAAGGATTAAGAACAGCTTCTACAGAGACCCTGACATCTAATTTGCTGCTTCACACTGAGCAGACAAGGCAATCTTCACATTTTCCAGTGACTCTGGGGTAAACATTTTTCTTCGATTGATAAAGCAATCCCTAATTTGATCTTAAATCCTCAATTAATCACTGTAAACTGCTCATGTTGCCAATGCCACTTCAAAAATTCCTATCAAAGGATTTTGTTACCAGTCAGCACCACCTTCCCAGATACAAAGATGAGGAGGACGATGCGAGGCTTCACCATCCGGTAGATGAGTCCTGGGAATAACTCTGGCTCATAACTATGAAGAGAACAATCAGCACTGTTAGAGGTTCACCAATAAACAAAATGTACCATACAGTGCATGTATTCAGTGAGGAAATAAAATCAGGTTTTGACACAATTACAGGGGGTACAGTTCTATACCTCTCATACCTGGGATGCCCCTGCCCAATAAAAAAAAAGAGACTAGATATTACTGAGGTCATATAAGCAAGTCAAGTTTTAAATGACCAAAACTGTCACTTTAGACAGACTCTAGTTAGAACAGAATAGAATTCAACATTATTGTCATGACACTGTTACAAGTACAAAGCAACTAGATCTGAGGTGAGCTACAACCAGCCGCACGAAGCACTCTGTGATGATGGGGGTTAGGGTAGTCCTTGAGACAGGATGGGTTGGAGTTCTTGGTGATCAGGACAATGGAGGTGGACCAGCGGGGGCCAGGGACAGGTTGAAGATGTCCGCCAGCACTCCTGCCAGCTCCCTAGAGCACACTGACATGTCCAGGGATGCCATCAGCACCCGCAGCCTTGTGGGCCACATATGACGGGGGTTAGAGTTGGAGAAGTGATCCTCCACCTTCCTTCTGAGGTGGTGTTTGGCCCTTCTGATGCCCCTGTTCAGCTCAGCCCTGGCTGCAATTTAGGCCTGTTCATCTCCTGACCTGAAGGCGATGCTGCGGTCCTTCAGCAGGAGGCGACCCTCCAGGTTCATCCAGGGCTTCTGGTTGGGCTACATGGTGATGCATTTGAAGGTGGTGAGGCCGTCTAAGGGGATGGAGATGTGGTCCAGTACAGATGATGAATAGTGATCCAAGTCTGGGGGGTGGAAAGTATTTCAATCTGTATTCCTGAATCGGTCATGGAGCGCAGCGTTTCAGCCCCATGGCCAAACTTTTACTGTTCTCAGGGTAGGTTTCACACATTGGATGAATGGCAAGTACTCAGGTGTGAGGAACAGGGAGAGATGGTCTGAGTGTCCAATGTGGGGGAGGGGTGTCGCCTTCTAAGCTCCAGCCAGGTTGGAGTATACCTCTCGTCTCCTCTGGTGTGGCAGGAGACATGTTGGTGGAATTTGGGGAGGACCGTCTTCAAGCTGGAGTGGTTGAAGTCAACCGCAACAATAAAAGCAGCCTCGGGGTGTGTGGTGTTTGCTAATGGCCGCATAAACTTTGTTCAACCGCATCCAGGGGGTATGCACAGCAGTGAGGATGATAGAAGTGAATTCCCTTGGGATGTAATAAGGTCTACAAATGACCATTAAAATCTCCACATTCTTTGAGCAGTGTCTCTTGGTAGTAGCAGACTCTGTGCACCAAGCTTTGTTAATATACACCTCTCAAAAAAATTAAAGGAACACTGAAAACAGATCTCAATGGAGAAAAAAATGATGCTGTTTATTTATCTGGACTGGGTTATGTGTTAGGAACAAAAGGATGGCACATCATTTGAAGGAAATGAAAATTATCAGCCTACAGAGGGCTGAATTCAAAGACACCCCAAAAATGATCTTCTCCCAGATCTGGACCTGGGCATTACTGAGCTCCTGGACAGTCTGAGGTGCAACCTGGTGTCGTCGGATGGATCGAAACAATGTCCCAGAGGTCTTCTATTTGATTTAGGTCAGGTGAGCTAGGGGGCCAATCAATGGTATCAAGTCCTTCATCTTCCAGGAGCTGCCCGCATACTCTTGCCACATGAGGCCGGGCATTGTCGTGCACCAGGAGGAACCCAGAACCCACTGCACCAGCATAGGGCCTGACAATGGGTGCAAAGATTTCATCCCGATACTTAAAGGCAGTTAGGGTGCTGTTGTCTAGCCTGTATAGTGTGTGCGTCCCTCAATGAATATGCCTCCCCAGACATTCACTGACCCACCACCAAAACGGTCATGCTAAATGATGTTACAGGCAGCATAACATTCTCCATGGCTTCTTCAGACCCTTTAAGGTTTGTCACATTTGCTCAGAGTGAACCTGCTCCCATCTGTGAAAAGCACAGGGCGCCAGTGGTGGACTTGCCAATTCCGGTGTTCTGTGGCAAATGCCAATCGAGCTCCACACTCCTGGGCAATGAGCACAGGGCCCACTAGAGGACGTGGGCCTTCAGGCCACCTTAGTGAAATCTGTTTCTGATTGTTTGGTCAGAGACATTCACACCACTGGTATGCTGGAGGTCATTTTGTAGAACTCTGGCAGTGCTCCTCCTTGCACAAAGGAGGAGATACCGGTCTTGCTGATAGGTTGTAGACCTTCTACGGCCCTGTCCAGCTCTCCTGGAGTAACTGCCTGTCTCCTGGAATCTCCTCCATGCTTTTGAGATTGTGCTGGGAGACACGGCAAACCTTCTGACAATGGCACGTATTGATGTGCATTCCTGGAGGAGTTGGCCTGCCTGTGCAACCTCTGTAGGGTCCAGGTAGTGCCTCATGCTAACAGAAGTGACAGTGACCCTAGCCAAATGCAAAACTGGTGAAAAAGAGTCAGAAAAGATGAGGAGGGGAAAAACTGTTAGTGGCCTCCACCTGTATTGATGGCCGTATCCTTGTTGTCCCTCTAGTGCACCTGTTGTTAATTTCATTAACACCAAAGCAGCTAAAACTGATTAACACCCCCTTGTGCTACTTACCTGACCAAATCAATATCCCAGAAGTTTAATTAACTTGATGCTATAGTCTGATTAGAAAGTGTTCCTTTATTTTTTTGAGTAGTGTAAATGCACAAACCTCCACCTCATGTCTAGCCGGAGTCATCTGCTGTCCTGTTGGTTCGGTGTTTGTGGCATCCCATTAGCTGGATACCATCATCTCAGCAGCTGTTGTTTAGCCATGTTTCATGAAAAGCATGACATTTGAGTCTATTATCAGAGTCTGTCGTTAGTGATGGATAGTCGCAACTCGTCCTTTTTATTGGCCAGAGAAAGAACATTGGCAAGGAAAATGCTGGGTAAAGGAAGCCTGTCTGGTGTTAGCTTTTGCCCTCCATGCCTACTCTGCCTTTGTTTACGTTCTCGTCGCCGTCTGCATGAACTTCCGCCCAGCCAGGAGGAGTGGGCAGCCTCCGTGGTTCTGGAGATCTCTGGGCGATTTATTGATGGGTGATAAATCTGTCAAAATTGTTGCTCCAAATGTCCAGCAGATCATGTCTGCTGTAGGACAGCAACGTAGTGCAGTTCTGGACAAAAACTCCGGTGAGGAATAGATAAAAAAAAAAAAAAACACAAAATAGCAGATTCTGGAGAGATGCTGCACCTCGTTTTTTAGAAGCACCGCCATCTCGGTCGAATAGATATGTTAATAGATAAGTAGATATTTAAGTCACCGAGTCAAAGCTACATCTACACTGTTGTGGTCAAATTTAGCAGCTGCATCCTCTTAAGCCCAGATTTGTCTGCCAATTACATCATAGCACGGTGCTGTGGCCTGTTCAGATTGGAAGACTCCTTCGTATGCGGCAGACAAACGCAGCTTTCTTTTGAAGGACAGGTCCGCTGTATCCTCCATAGCCTTGGGTATGCTGTGATTCATTCAGAGTCCAAACAAGCCGGCTGCTCCATGCTCAGAGGAAAAAAGGAAATGGTGATGAAAAGCATTATATAATATATATATACAAGTATGTGAATAATTTCCTCTTAAATGAATGAAAATATTTATTTTAAATAGTTATTGAGTCAGATATGTGGAGGGTAATATTTGATTTATTGAAAGGTTTTATTTGTCACTGTGTAAATGGGTTTGGCTGATATTTAAGCTCAGATTCCAATATCTCTGCAGTGTGGGTACTATGAATCTGATATCTGAGAGGACAGTACTGCTGCTGAAGCTCCTCAAAAATTAAATTGGCACCAGACCAGTGAGAAGGTCAGCATCCATTCTTCACATGACGTATGAGTTACTGGTCACAGTTGGGCGGGGACCTACAGAAGATGCAGCCGCTGAAATCGAACACAGCACTCTTCATTTTCAAAGCGCTCACAGTTTTTCTCTTTGTCTTCTGCTTATCTGGGACCGGATTGTGGGGACAGCAACTTCAGTAGAGACAAAGAGATTTCCCCTTTCCCAGACACCTCCTCAAGCTTCTCTTGAACAAGTACAATGGTCCCCTCCAGCCAAGAGAGATAGTTCCTCCAGCATGTCCTGGGCCGTCCTCTAGGCTTACTCCCGGTGGGATGTGCCTGGAACACCCTTTTTGGAGACCTATAGGTGGCATCCATAACAGATGTCCATGCCTCTTCAGCTGACTCCTCTTGATGAGGAGGAAAAGTGGCTGTACTCTGAGCCTCTTCGGATGACAAAACTCCTTACCCTCTGAGAAAGTATCTGGCCACCATGGGGAAAACTAATTTTAGCAGATTCTACCCATTCTTTCATACAGATTTCATGACCCTTGGTTAGGGTAGGGTTCATAGACAGGTAAATTGTGAACTTAACTAGTACAGCTCCCTCTTCACCACAACAGACCGGTGCAACAGCCACAACGATCTGTCTATTGATCGCAATCCTCTCCTCACTCATGAACAGGACCCTAAGGTACGCCACATGAAGCAGAAACCCCCCCTTCAGCCTGAAGGGGACAAGGCACATTTTT